TGGCATTGCCACTCTAGCCCTGGGAAGGCCCACTGGGAAGGCCTCATGACCCGCCGCCCGCAGGGCTCGGGACCCAGATCCTATGTGGTACAAGCTGAAAGGGTAACAGGATCTTCCCAGAAGAGATCCCGGTTCTGTTAAGACCCAGAGGGGAGAAGGCAGACTCAGAAGAGGGTGGGGTTGGCTTTGTGGTCAGATGAGCCTTTGGCCCCTCCCCCACTCGGGCCCACTTCCTAGTCTGTCCACCAACAGACAAAATCATCCGACTGCACTTGGGCTGGGAAGGCTGAGTCCTCATGCACAGTTCTTGGGACGGGGTGGCATCACGGGCCGCACGCACTCTGTGGGGTGCCTCCTGCAGGTGGAGCAGCTCTTCGCTCTGACACCCATGGACCTGGCAGGCAACATCGACTACAAGTCCCTCTGCTACATCATCACCCATGGCGATGAGAAAGAGGAGTAGAGGCCAGCTGGGGTCACCTCAATAAACTCTGTGGCTGAACTAGAACCGAGGCGTTGGCTTGACTCTGACGTACAGGATGGGGGTGGACCAGGCAGGGGACAGGGGACCCCATGAGGTCCCACCTTTGTTCACACGACCAAGTGAAGTATGAACCATTGTTTTGCCCACTGCTGAACTCCAAGAGAGGAAATGGGGTGCACACAACCTCCACGAGGCCCAGGAATGAGCCACAAGTAGGCAGCCCAGCTCTTGAGGTCTGGGTCAAGAAGAAATCTCTTGTTGGAGACTCAGCAGACTTTCTGCCCAGCAGCTCAGCTAACAGGTGCAGCCCCAGGGACCCTACCTTCGACCACATAGCCTCCCTGCTCTACACACAGGCCCACTGCCCAGTCTCTCTTGATATGCTTGCTGACTATGTGGGCCCTGTGGGAAAAGCACAGAGGAACCTGTTTAAAAACACAGCCAGAACTAGAGAGATGCCTTGGTGCTGGATGTCTGGCCTAGCATATTGCATGCCCTGTATTCCGTTCCCAGTAAGCGCCCCTCCCCTAGGGAAAGAGAGGGAGGGAAAAGTGGGGAAGAGAAGGAGGGGGGTGGATCATAATCATACTGAAGTACAGGAAGACAGGGACATGATGGGACATGGACACTGGAGGGGAGGGTGGATCACAATCATCCTGAAGTACAGGAAGACAGGGACATGATGGGACATGGACACTGGAGGGGAGGGTGGATCACAATCATCCTGGAGTACAGGAAGACAGGGACATTGATGGGACATGGACACTGGAGGGGAGGGTGGATCACAATCATCCTGAAGTACAGGAAGACAGGGACATGGACACTGGAGGCAGAGCCAGATCACAGGCAGATCCTAGAAACTGGCCTCCTGCCTCCTGAGGCCCTCATATCAAGGGTTTTGTCGCTGGGTCACACAACTGGAGCACAGGGAGAGGACTGCCCCTACAGAACTGTTAGTGTACCCCATCTCCCCTTCTCTGCTGGAACCACAGTGTGCAGAAGCAGGTGATCCCTGCCCCCCCCCCCAAGCACCTAAGGGAGAGACAGAAAACTAGGGACTTGGCTCAGCCAAACCAGAATGGAGCAGCAGCCCTTGGCTACCCTCCCTCCAAGCCTGCTGCAAGGGCTCTCGGCTTGGAGCTGGGAGGAGATGCAAAAAAACAGGAGAGAGAGGAGAGGAGAGGGGGAGGTAGAGAGGGAGAGGGGAGAGAGAGGAGGAGAG